TGGTTCTCTGTGTGTCTCCATCTGTCCATCTCCTCTATCTCCTTCCCTCTGCTCAGTTTCATTCTTTCCTTTATCTCTTCTCTCTCTCTCCCACTTCCCCAACTCTCTCTGTCAACTCTCTCTCCTCCTCACACCTCTTTCCTATTTTCTCCTCCTCTCCCCCATCTCTTCCTCTCTTTTCCTTCCCTCCCTCCCCAATCCACCCCATCTTGCCATCTCCAATGGGAATGAGATGGGCTCCCCTCAGCAGCAGCCTCTCCCTCTCCACTTGCCCCAGGGCCCCATACCTGCACGTAGACACATCCTTCTCCTGTCACCCCCGTGCTGTAGTCCCCTGGCACCTCTGGCAGTGCCACACGCTGGAGCAGCAGACGGTTTGTGGGATCCACCTGGAACTGGGACTGGAAGTTCCCTGTGGATTGCAGGGTCACTGTGGATGCTCCTCCGCTCTTGGCATAGGTGGAGACTCCATATCGGGACAGTGCCTGGAGTGCCACCACTATGTCCTGCCAGACAAGAGATGGGCCCAGGTGCCCAAGGGGATGAATGAGCCATTTCTATGGGCCCGGAGCCCCCACTCCACCAGCTCTTCCTACACAGCAGTGCCCTGATTTTCCCATTTCCACTCCTCACTCCCACAAGCCATTCACTCTATTCCCTTAGGCCCAGATCATCAAAGGTATTTAAGCACCTTTCTCCCACTGAAAGCAGCCAAGTGTCTAAGTACCTTAGGGAACCTAGGCCTTGGGATCTCTGACACTCCACCACAGGCATCTGAGGGAAGATGCCACCACCCTTGCCCCGAAGGGACAGTTCAGAACCAGGTGAAATAGGAGATGCCTGTAGCTCAGAGAGGACCCTGGTGAGGCAGCCAGGAGGCTCAGTAATGGAGTATGAGAAAGTCTTTCAGCCCTTTGGGTATCAAGCCAACCAGGGAAATGGTGGAACATGGGGCCAATGATTGGTCCTGTCTAGAGAGGTCACTCCCTGAGGTCCCAGCCTCCAAGCACCAGCATAGCCAGCACCTGCTCAAAGGGGTAGGTGGCACCTCCTGTTTGGTTGTCACTCAGGATGATGCTCCCCTCCTGTGATGCTAATGAAGGGATGTAGGGGCTCAATCCTGCCAAGTGTTTAACTTTAAGGCTGTTTGAGGTCAATGGGACAACTCATGTGCCTAAAGTAAAGCAAGCTTTGCTGGGTCAGGCCCAAAGCGCTCAGTGCCCTGAAATGACATATTGTAGTGACTGCAGGGCCACCTAGAAATTCACCATTACACACTGTGGCCAATTAGTCCTGTAGGGCTACAGTAGGGATAGAACTCAGCTCCTCCTGCTCCAAAGGCCCAGACCCCCATGGCTTGAACTAAAGAAGAAGCCCTGTTATTTATTGAGATGACCAAAACAATTTTGACTAAAACTCAGGAACTAAATGTTGTTAAAAAAGAGGGTTTAGTCAAAACATTTTTAGTTTTTGGTACACACCCCTCCCCTGCAAATTTTCTTCTGAGAATAGTCGGTTTTCCCCCTTTTTATAATTGTTTTCCAACTTTTGCCAGGTGGTAAATAGTAGCCAAGTGTGAAAATTGGGCTTTCCCTCTCTTTCTTCACCCACTTAGCATCCAGGTCCACCCCCTAGCCCCGGCTCTGCTCCAGCCCTAGCACTAGCTCCACCCAGACCTGGAGGACCCTGCATGCTGGATGCATTACACACAGCTCCGGCCAGCTGGAGGGAGAGGGACAGCAGTGGCACAGCAGCGGAGTGCCAGATGCACGTGCCGTGCAGCAGCAGGAGGAGGGTGGGCGGGTGAGTGGGTGGCTCGGCGGTGGCAGAGGAGATCCTCAAAAAAGGTCGGCCTGCCGTGCCATCTCAAGGAGCTTCGCCCGGCATGGGGCTGTGGGACGGGATGGGTGCCGGGAGCTGTGAGCGCTGGAGAGTAGCATCTCCTTCCAGAGCTGGGTGCGCATGTGAGACCTCTGGGGGCCCCTGGCCAGAGCATCCATCGCCCCCCGCAAGGCCAGTTGGAGGAGGTGGGGGGGAAGTTGGGACCTCGATCCCTCCTGCTCCCCCTCTTCCCCGTCATTGCCCGCCCACCCAAAGTCGGGGCCCACCCAAATGTCCCATGTTAGCTATGCCACGGTTGTGCCAGTGCTTAACCACCCTTATAGTTAGAAAGTTTTTCCTAATATCTCACCTAAATCTCCCTTGCAGCAATCTAAGCCAATTACTTCTTGTCCTTGGTGGACATGGAAAACAATTGATCACCATTCTCTTTCTAGCACATATTATTCCTGGGCGAATTCTGCACCAAAACTTTAAAAATTCTACATACAATATATTAAAATTTGACATATTTTATGTGTCAAAATAACGCAATATAATCACACCGGTTTCAATTATTTTGGTAATTTATTTAAACTACAATACAATGGATGGAGAATAGAAGTAGGGATCATTGGAGGAAATCCCCAAATCCTCTTTGTCTAATAGTAATGTAGCTAGGCTTGACCCTTTATTTCTAGTTATTAGTCAAGATATAACAATGTTATATGCAGCCATATGTTCATATTACATCATAGGGAACTGAAGAGCAAGTGAGGGCTGGGGAATCAAACTTATAGTTTATATTGGCTACTGTCCCTCTCCAGAAAGGTCAGAAGTAAACAGTTAATGATGTACATTTTGATAGGAAAATGTTTCAGTCCAAAAATTTAGACCAGTTCTAATCACTCAAGCACCATAAGCATTTATAAGGCCATACCGTCATTTACAATAGGGCTTCTTTACACCACTCTGGCAATGTAAAGGAGCCTTAAAACTTTTACACCTGTTTTATGCTCCTGGGGGAATTCACTAAGAATGGGAACAATTCACTAAGGGTATGTCTACACTACAGGATTAATCCGAATTTAGATAATTCGAATTTGGGAAACAGGTTGTATAAATTCGATTGTGCGCGGCCACACTAAGCACCTTAATTCGGTTTTTAACCACATTAATTCGGTGGTGTGCGGCCACACTACCCCATTAACTTAAACACAGTAATTCGGTGGTGTGCGGCCACACTAACCCTAATTCGAATTAACAAAATCGATTTAGGCGTTACTCCGCTCGTCGAGGTGGAGTACAGAAATCGATTTTAAGTGCCCTTTAATTCGAATTAACTGGCTCTGTAGTGTGGACGGGTGAAGGGTTAATTCGGATTAACGCAGCTAAATCCGAATTAAAGTCCTAGTATAGACCAGGCCTAAGAATGGGAACAACTAAGCAGGCAGGCTGCTACATTATGCTCTGCCTCAGGGGACAGAGCCTGCTTCATGCCTTCCTCCAAACACCCCAGAGCCCTGTCCCTCCACGCCAAGCCTGTCACAATGGCAAGCCAGAGGGACAGAGTCTCTCTCATTCATTCACTTTCTCGCTCACCTGCCCGCCCAGTCCTCCCTGCCCCCCACCGTGCTGATTTACGTCTCCTCCAGCTGCTCCAGGCCGCCAGGGACGGGGGAGTGACTGCACTTCCCTTTGCTTCCCCTCAGAAGTCATTTTTCTGTGGGGAACCAAAGAAATCTGCAGACGACATGGTGCAGAATTCTCCCAAGAGTAACATATTTGAAGATTGTTATCTTGTTCCCCCTCAGCCTTCTCTAGATTAAACATACCCAATTCTTTCAACCTTTCCATATAGATCAGATTTTCTAAACCTCTTATCATTTTTGTTGCTGTCCTCACTCCAATTTGCTCATGTTTTTCCTAAAGCGTGGCACCCAGGAGGACTGGCCACAGGACTCATTCTTACCTTGAAGCTTACAGAGTTGTTTTTTCTGGATTGATACAATAATGTGAATCATATCTTTGCCTTACTGAAAAAGGTGGGATGCATTTCTGTAACTCAGAGAGGAGCTGCAGTATTAGATCATGTGTTACTGCTTACATCACACAATTTAAAAATGATTAGTGCTTTCCTATAATGGAGAGAGGAGTGGCCACCTCTATCACGTGATATTGCTCTGATCAGACATGTAACAAGTTATCACTACTTCCCTATTACATAGAATAGCTATGGAGGTTTATATTATGAGATATTGTTTATGCTGGCTGGGTGTCATGTCAAAAAAAAAAAGGGGTGGGGGGAAGTCAGAGGTTCCTCATCACAAAATACTGTAAGAGACAAACATTTATAGAAAAATATGCAAAAAAATCATTGGCTCACATTACCTTGAGCACTTTTTAATTGTTTGCAATCAAATGATTTAAAATAAATAATGATAATTTACTAATCATTCACAAATGTTTTAAAATGAAGGCACTGTCCCATATTCCACTACACTGGTCACATACAGCACAAGATTTGTTACAGTTCCTGGAAGTGTCCTGTTTGGGAATGGGCCGGCAGGGTTTACAAGTAGATCTGGGAGAAATTTTTTGGAAAAGCTTGTTTTTCGCTGTAAAATGCAGATTCGGATTGACAAAAACATTTCTCACATTTGTGCTAAATTCACCAAATTGTTTCAGTTAAAAAAAATCAAAACATTTTGTTTTGAGATTTTCTAAACAAAATATTTTGATTTTTCAATTCAATATTACTTTTTAAAATTTTAGTTTAATTTTATGTTGAAAAAAAGTAAAACAATTTGAAAAAACAACAGTATGATTCATGTCAGGTCGTTATCAAACTTTTTGTTGGACTTAAAACTACATTTTTTTTGTCCATTTTGGTTCATCAAAAAACCCTGAAACATTTTCATTTGGGTTGACCCAAAACGATTCTTTTTTTGATTTTTCAGTTGGCAGCAAACCAAAAAAACCAGTTACTTGCACAGCTCTATTTACAAGGACCATGATCCACGTCCACAGCTAATGTAAATCTGCAGAGCTGCATTGAATTTAATGGCACTATGCCAATCTACACTGCTGAGGGCTCGATCCCATGACTTGTTATGGACAAAACCTAAAAGTCATGGTTACTGTCCCAAAAGACATGGCTTTGCTTATTATTTCAATCACATGGTGTAACAAGATACCAGTATTTTTCTGTAAGAAGTTATGCAGTATTACAGTTTATACTGGCTAATATAGTGACTTATCGCTGCTTCCCTTTACAGCATTAGAGAACGTGTTATTGCTGAGATCATATTAAGTCATTATGGCTTCCCTATAAAACCAAGAAGACCTGCAGCATTATATCAGTTGTCACTACACAGCAGTAAGTTATCATGGCTTCTCTACACCACAGAGACCAAACAGCCCACCTACCTCCACTAACAGCTGTTTGATCACCGTGTCCTTCCGCCCTTTGTCCAGGGTCTCCACTACCTCGTTCCCGCAGGGCAGATCTGTCTTCAGGGCCTCAGCGCTCACTGAGAAATCCACATTACCTGAAACAAAGGAGGATAAGTGTTCTGCCAGGCACTGCAGCTACAGAGGTGTCAGTGTCATTCGCTTGGTGTTCTGCTTTGATTACATGGAAACCTCTCTAAAGAGGGCAGAGCTCAAGTCACATGTAGGTTAGCACTTTAGCACAGCTCTGCGGCAGCCTTAGTTTCCAACCCCTAGACTCCAATGGCTACATCGAATGGGGCTGGGCAAGATGGAGAGGAGGGGAGTGCAGGGTCATTTCTTCAGATTCTGCCGCCCAGACCCCTGCATAGTGTCAGAGCCATCATCTTCCTTTTCCAGAAATTTCAGACCCAACCAGTCTGTCAATCCAGGTATTTATATGGCCCCCATCGCAGTAGTCAGATGGGGAAACTGAGGCACAGGGACACTGACTTGCCCAAGAGCTGGACACTGAGTCCAGGTCTCCTGAGTCCAGTCCAGTGCCTCAGCCACAAGGCCAGCCTTACTCCTTGGAGCCACCAGAAATCTTATCCAGAAATTTCAGTGCCACTTGGTCCCTTTCACAGAGGTTTTGGAGCCATCCATTAGTTCCTGATCCGAGATTTTGGAGTTGCCAGGTCCCTTACCCAGAGATTTTGGGGTCACAGCCCAAGACACTGTTTTCCGTCCGTTCACACAGAGACAATAAGATTCTTCTTCCTTCTCCACAGGGGTAGCCCGGAAGTCATCAGATGGAGCCAGTGAGATGCTGACCTGTCAATCATACAGAGAGGTGCCATCAGGCAGGGAGAGAGAGGGGTTCGAAGGGTTTGGGGGTAAAAGGAGATGGGACAGTGCAGGGGAGGAGAGGGGGCAGGGAGTTTGGGGGCCACAGGAATTTGGTGGGGCAGGGATTGAGGTGGGGAAAGCTGAGGGGTACTGAGGTTTGGGGAGGTGCAGGAGACTGAGGATGGGCAGAGAGTTGGGTGCATGGCTCTGAAGAAACAGGTGATTGCAGGGCCTGAGGGACCCAGGACCAGTTGTGGGAATAAAGACAAAGTGGTGACCCCAAATTTACCACCTTGGTATGAGTCTGAGAGCCCTCTGGTGTCTTGTTAGGGGAGGAGGGGAAGTGCTGGCTGTGGGGGGTGGGGGGCTATCTGGGAGTAGCTGAGAGGGAACAGAATTGGGGACCATCAGTGAGCGTAGCGAAGGGCAGGAAAGGGATGGGGAAGCGGATGAGAGGGCCTTGGGGGCCCTTAACACTGTAAAGTTTGTTCCCGCTTCACTTTATCTAGAATGAAACCCATTTAAATAAAAGCTGAGAGAAAAGTCACCACAATTTTGCAGGGACCCCCTTCCTGAGTCCCCTCCAGTCCCTTGTGCTGGAGCAGGAATACACTGCAGGCTAGTGGGGCTAAAGAGTCAGTGCCGTTTCCATGGATGCAACAGGCCAGCGAGTTTCCCAGCGGCTGTAGTGCAGCTGGGGGTGTTGTGCGGCATGAGGCCAAAGGCCAAGCACATGTGTCCATTCCAGGAAGCCTGGAGTCTCCACTAGAGTAAGGGGTGATGCACAGTGTGTGGTCACCCCAGGTACCTTGCTTACCATGGGGTCATGAAATAGGCACAGGAGGTCTAAGGCCAGCTGCCTTCAGCCACACAGGAAGTTGGTGTCAGGTATATCTGCAGCTCGCAAACCTTTGTCAGTCAGACAGATTCCTTCTTTCATAACGCCCACTCTGTACCTCTATAGTAACACACATCTAGGAGCCAATCGGATTCCTCCTTTCCATCACCCATTTCTTTCCACTGTAATAAGACACTTTCCTAGGGGCCAATCAGCTGCCTCCCTTGGATGGGAAGCCATGTTGCAACTGGCCCATGTGGTCTCCTCCCTGGCCCCTGCTGAGCAAAGCTGTGAGTGTCCCTTACCCTGATGCAGCGGGTCAGGTAGTTGAAGACAGTGGCCCTTAGTGTGAAAGCCTCGCCGCGCACCACAGAGTAGGGCAGGGTGAGCTGCACGAAGAAGGGCTGGAAGGCTCTGAAGGACACGGTTGGGGACAGGCCAAAGCCAGTGTCACTTGAAGTGCAGAACGCGTTGGCTTTCCATTCTGTGATGGTGTCAGGGATGGTCACGGCCAAATCAGCACTTCCGACAGACCTGGTGACAAAACAAGAACGAGATGGGGGGAGCTTTCCTAGCTTTGGGGGAAACAACTGTGTCCCTCACAACATCCTGAATGAACCCCCCTCCTTTTGTAACTGCCTTGGGAGCACTGGGGGTGTGCATGCTGGTTGGTTATTGTAGGCTCACCGCAGAACACTTCCTCCCATCCTATCCTACATCCAGCTCCACAGAAGAATCATCCAAATAACAAGACTGGGGGTGGGGTTCCACGGTGAACAGAAAATCCCGCAGGACACACGGATACAGAAAAGGATGAGCTGCATAGCTAATAGCGACTTCTGCTCCAGAGCTGGGACCAAAAAGAAATTACACCTCCCTCCGACACACACAAACAAACACAAACACACACAACAGGGGATTGTACATTGAGATCCACACAATTGTCTCCCAGTTATTGAGAGGAGAAGGAGTCGCTGTGGTGTATTAGTAGAACTAGTTAACTTACTTCCTGTCTTTCCTCTACCTGCCCATCTATCCCTCATGCTTGTCTCTCTCTAGCCTATCTACAAAAGATACTCCATCTATCACAGAAGGATATAAGCACATCTCATGGTGTCTGAGCAACTTCTTCTGAGAGTCTGTGTAACCCAGTTGACCACACTCACCACATCCCCTAAACATCACTTACTTCACTTGAACTAAATCCCAAATCCACGTCTCAGGGAAATACTTCCGGATGGTCTCCACTGGGCCATGAATGAGATTTTCCATCATGCCACCAACTAAGGTATCTGCATCATATGAGAGCCTCGCTTTAGATGTTGGAGGAGGTAAGGGAGAGAAAGGTGATATGTTAGACCCCATTCTATATCATGGCACTTTGTTTCCGGTTAGTAACAGATTAGATTCTAAACCCTAGATTTGAAACCCCCTCTTTTCAAATTCAGACCCAAACTTAAACCTATCTCTGCTTGCAACCAATCACTCCCTTCCCCACCCCACTCTCCCAATGTCATCAGCTGTCTTTTCTGAACTTCTTTAGAAGCCATTGAAAAAACATCTCTATTGCCCTATTATGAGCTCAGCACTGTCTGTTTTCTAAAGACTTCTGCACTTCTTATAGGGGTGGTATGGATGAACATGTTTATTCCAACTCCACCAATCATGGAGCATATGGGAAGCCCAGACATAATAACTGCATTGAAGCAGCCCTCAGAGCCCTGCCTATATCCACTTCAAATGGAATTAACCTGTGGAACTCACTGCCCCAAGCCGTTATAGATGCAAATAGTTCAGTGAGTTTCACAGAAAAAAAACCTGTGTCTGTATATGACTAAGAGTAGCAGCAACACTAGTGACACCAGCTAGGATTCAGATGATCCGGGATATCAGTCCTCGTGCTTCAGGGCATAAGCTAATATCCAGCCATAGATCAGGAAGAAATTTGCCCCATAGCACAGTGAGGTGTAATACAGAGGTTTTCCACCTTCCTCTGAAGCAGCCACCATTGGCCACTGTCTGAAGAGGGACCTTGCGCTAGAAAGACGACAGTGCTGATCCAATATGGTCAGGAGGCAGGACACTGCCATATACAGACCAGTAGTCTGATGTTCTACAGTAGGAATGGGGACATTGGATTAGAGGGTCAGTGATCTGATCTAGTTAGTCTTCATTTCCACTGGTGTAACTGAGAGCATAATTAACACTAATATTTAGACATCTAATCTCAAGAGCTCTTCACAAGGCTGTGTAAGTATCATTAGTTCCCTTTTACAGATAGGAATATTGAGGCACAAAGAAGTGACGTGGTTCACCCAAACTCACATAACCAAGGCAATGGCAGAGATGGGAATGAAATTCAGATTTCCTGACTCCCAATTCTAAACCCTCTCCACAAGTTCACACGGGGTATGCCTACATTGCAATGTAAACCCAGGGTTATGAGAACTTGAATTAGCAGACCCTGGGTTTGTCAATCCAAGCTTTGAGCGTCTAAACTCACTTGTAACCCCAGGTTAGGAATTGTTGAACCCTGGGTCCCAGCTTGGGGTTCCAGCATTTACACTGCATTATGTGGGCCCGTGTCCAACCACCTCTATCCCAGACTTCCTAGCGCTCTCCGAAAATGTGGCCACACTAGCCCTTTGTTCATGGAGCAGTGTGGGAAAACTTGACTGTTCACCAAACTTCACTGTCCCATGGACAAAGAAAGTTGATCTATGGGATGCTTTTGGCAGACTCCCAGAGCATGAGTCCAGTGGGGCTGTATCTACACTGCAAAGCAATAGAGTTTGAACCCTGGGTCCTGGCTTGACTCATGGTCCTCCTTCCATCCCTGTGGGGTCCTGGGATCCTGGGTCCAAGCCATGGGTTTGCACTATTTGTGCATAGATAGATGGGAGTTTAGGCCTCTGCCTGAGTTAAAATGTTGGGCACACCCCTTTGAACTTGGCCCTCTCTCTGCTTAGTTTTTCTTCTGGCGCTTGCTATAAAATGGAAATGTGGAAGTGGAAATCGTCCTGTCCCATAAATTCAACAAGATTTAGCAGCCATTTTGTGCCAGTGCAGCACAACTACATTAGGGGGTGCAAGGTGCCACTGCATCAGTGTAGTTACAACAGTGCATATTTCCTTAGCTGGTGAGCAAGCAGTGGAAATGGACCAGATTCCTATTTCAGGACTGACTTGCTTGGATTTCGGCCAGCACAGCTGAGAACAGAGTCTAGTCCTACTGGTCTAGTTTCCATGCAGAGGAGAGGGTGAAAGGGAGGGGAGCAGGAAAAGCACCTAACAGGGGGGTATAAGCGGGGCAAAACAAAGCAGGATATTTTACCAGCAATACCATATGCTTCAGGTACACCGTACGTTCTCTCCATGCAGGGTCTGGGCTTATGGACCTTGGTGCTGGTGAAGCCTTTTAAACCCATCGCCTGTAAAAAGATAACCCAGACAGCTATGTGGTAAAGTAAACCATATGTCAGGAGATAAACGTGCCGTCTGGACTGGACCGGCATGTGACGAGCTTATCACAGTGCAGGGATGGGTCATTGCAAGAGCAGATACTAAGGCCTGAGACGTCAATGCCAGTGTGGCAGGCGGGAAGCCAAGGGTGAGGTCTATGTCAGTGAAAGGCGCCGGATCAGCAGCTGGTGACGGACGTCCTGTGTATCCTCAGAGCAGGTTCATCAGAGGCATGAGCAGTGCAAGCTTGCACTGTGCACTCAGCCCCTGCCGGCTTGCCTCGGCCTTGCCCTGGAGGGAGTTCAGTCTCTCTGGCCCAGTCCATCCCCTGCCTCTCTGCTGAGATGCCTAACAGTCATTGTCAGGTGTGCTGGGGTTGGGTGATTTGGGAGCAAGTCCCACTGGGAACAAACCTGAAATCCCGCAGGACACCAAACCCTCACTAGCTGGGGCTGGGTAATTACCCTGGGTGCTGGCTCAGAGTGGCACTCCGCACATCTGTGCGTGTGCGTGTGTAGCTAAAATGGAGACTGGCACTTCACAGAGACCTACATAGATGGGATAGAGAGCGTGTGGGACAGGATCTCTATGACAAAATGGCTGCAGAGGCTGAGTTGCCCATTTCTGGGCTCTATTTCTTTGCCCCAGCTGTTAGGACGTCTCCTTTTCGTATTTAAATTAGTGATGGGAAACCTCTAGAGTTCAGTGGTTGAGAGAGGCATTCAGGCCTCAATGCTGGGGGGTTCCCATCTGGGGTTTTCTGGCCCAGCTTTAGTTATTACCTCGAATGTGCTGGCTAACAAGCACCCAGCTCAGACAGCATCAGGTGAGGAAATCTTCTGAACTAAAAGCGATTTCACACACCAAAGGGAGACGTGGCGCTCACCTTGAGAACATTGTAGGCGTCCCCTTCACCGTCAGGAGAAATGGGTCCATAGATGAATCCGTTTATAATGACGTTGTCGAGTTTCACACAAGGGTTATCGTCTTCTTCCTCCAAATGGTGATCCCGGTAATTATAACCCCTGATCTCCTTCACCGGGAGCAAATCATACACCTGCGGGGACACGCCTCGATGTCAGTGACCACAGGCCCAATAATAATAAACCAGCGTGTGCCACCCTAGCAATCACAGACAACTTTAAACTAATACACCCGTGTGTGCAATCCCAGTTACCAAGGTTGACCCTACAATAACAGACAGACTGCTCTGCCCTAGCTCTCACGAGTGATTCTCGGCACTTTCCAGACAAGACCAGCTCTTGCACCTGTTGATCACTGGGCCAGGCTGGCATTTACAGAGCTGGGCGAGAGCTCGGCTTCAGGCTTCATGAGGAGGACGCTCTTGTCCACAGCACGGACGGCGCACAGGGAGCCCGGGGAGGCTCCGACCCGGAGGTGAGTGTCGGAGGCAGGGAGGCCCTCGTCCGGAGAGAAATGCAAGTCAACCTGCAACGCCAGGAAAGGAGTTAGAGGAGCTACTTCTCCAGGTACCTTCACACTCTGCCTCGCAGCACAGCCCAGTCCTGGAACCGCCGCACACAGCTCTGTCAATGCCCCTGAACTCTGCCCTGCAGCCCCCGCTATTCCAGTCCTGGGTTCCCCACAAAGCCCTGCCAATGCCCCTCAGTCCTGACCAATGCAATTCAAACATGACCAGCAGCGCCCCCATACGTCAGTTCTGCTTCCACCCTTATAATTCTGCCTATGCAAATTACTCCTGATGTGCATTCATCTCTCATATTCAATTACTGATCCATGGTCAGTGCCTGATGGGCTCATGGAGCCATTGAACATTTCCTGAGTCTTCATTGAAATTTGCAATTCCAGGTTCCACAGGTGGGCCATTGTCCATGGGGTGAATGTGAGTTATAGAAACCGGATGCTCACCTTATTGGCAAAGCAGTTTTCAATCTTGAAATCTTCGGAATTGGCGATAACGTCCCCGCTGGGTAAAGTGGTGTATACAAGTACCCAGGCCAGGGGGGTGATATCAGGCCTCACGGGGAGCCTCAGCTCAAATACCTGGATAACTGGCAAACAGAGAGAGGGGGCGGGGGCTAAGCTATAGAGAATCAGCTCCAGGGCCACACATTTCCCTAGGCTCCCTCATTATGGCTGCAATATCAGCCACTCTGAAAAATTCGCTATCCAAGGGTAAGAGTTTTGGCGCATAGTTGAGGCCTTTGACTCTTACTGCAGACACCCGGTGCAGGATGTTCAGGTGAGATGGGTTTGGTGGATCTCAGCATGTCCCCTAAATCCATATCAGCTAGAGTCTAGCACTGTCCTCCATCAGTGCAGGACCCCCCTGCCCATGCAATAATGAAGGCGAGGAAAGAAGTGCATGTTGTACAGTGGCTCTGTGCGGAGGGTTGTGCTCACAGAGCTGCAGAGGGGGTGGGATTCCATACTTCTGGTCCTCAAGGTGGAATTTGCCCAGCCAGCCTGAATCATTCAAACTGGGGATCCTTCAGACTGCCATTAATGAAATGAAATTGGTCAGGGGAACTGTATGTGTGTCAAAGGTGGGAGGGATAGCTCAGTGGTTTGAGCATTGGCCTGCTAAATCCAAGGCTGTGAGCTCAATCCTTGAGGGGGCCATTTAGGGATCCGGGACAAAAATCTGTCTGGGGATTGGTCCTGCTTTGAGTACAGGGTTGGACTAGATGATCTCCTGAGGTCCCTTCTAACCCTGGTATTCTATGATTCAAAGGGAGAGAGAGACCATGACTAGTGAGACAAGAAGGTAAGAGAGAAAGCAAAGAGGAGAGAAGGGTACTGTTCTCAGCACCTCCTTCAAACACAGCAGCTCAGCCTTCCAGGACAGGCTGAGAAAGGGATGAGGAGAGCTCACAATGAGAA